TTGAGCCAGGTGTATATCGATGTAAGGGTCACCCTTGCTTCTGTCCTTATCAGTCCTGATTCCAGATCTACTTAAGGATAATGCAAACTGGTGGACCACCCTCTTGGCCCCAGGATTTACTTATACTCTTGGATTAACAATAGACTTTTATAATTGTGTAGCTTGTTTGGGATTGCTATATGATGTAATGTTTACGTAACTTTTAAAATCCATTAAAAAGCATTTTTAAAAGGTTGTTGTCAGCATGACTAAAATAAGGACACGTGAAGGGTTTTCAGCGTGCCGAAAGGTCTGTCATGACGCTGATCCTAGGGCCGTCGACTCCCTGTTTCTCAGAGCTGAAGGTTTCTATTCCTTTTTTTAAAAAAACCAAACTTTTAAATTAAATTTTTCAGAATTTCAAAGTTTATACAACAGCCTATTTTTCATAATAGTATAAAAGTATAATGTCTGTTATAGATCAGACCAAGCAGGGTTTATTCCCAATAGGGACCTCAGGTAGACAGTACCAGAAAGACCATCAACATAATCCAACACAGTAAAAAATAAAAACATTAAATCATCATTAATTTTATCTATTGATCTTGGAAAGGCCTTTGATAGTGTGAGCATCTCTTCCTTTAAATTGCTGATTAACCAGATGGATTTTGGGGATAAATCTCGTAAAGCTATTGATTCATTATACACATCGCCCAGAGCACAGGTTCAGGTAAAATATTTCCATTCCTGATGCTCTATTTCTGCTCCGCCTGTTCCCTCCCAGGTATTGGCTATTTTGATGGATGTGTTCAGTGATGCCGAGATCTTCTGCGATGTCTTAGAAGCAGCGAACAAGCGGAGGGTCTTTGTCTACCTGCTACTGGACCACAGTAACCTCAAGCTCTTCACCGAGATGTGCAACAAACTACATGTCTCGGAGGATCACTTCAAGGTACCCTTGACCATTGCAAACTCCCGGCTGCTTGTCCTCCGTACATGTTCCCTTGAAGCACAACATGATCTTTTGTCTGGATCTTTTCAGGCGGGGAAAGGGTTAATCTCCGTACTGAACTCTACAATGCGTCTGGAGGAGGGGGCAAATTGGGGATGCTGTTCAAAGGAGGCAAATGCTGGGCTATTGGATGTTTTCCTATTGGAGCAAGGGAATTTTTTTCCCCCTCAGTAGAGGTGGTAATGTGCCTCAAGCCAATCCAGATACGGACAAGAATCATTTTTATCTGTTTTGCAATACATATTCTTTTTATTATTCTTCATTGCCTTGGATGCTATAGTGGGAAGGACAGAGGATACTGCGCTAATAAAAATTTGGCTTGTATTTAGGATGAATAAAAAAGGTAAAGGTTCCCTTGCTCGAAAGCCAGTCGAATCCGACTCTAGGGTTGCGGTGCTCATTTCCGTTTCAAAGCCGAAGAGCCAGCGCTGTCCGAAGACGTTTCCGTGGTCATGTGGCCGGCATGACTAAACACCAAGGCGAACGGAACGCTGTTACCTTCCCACCGAAGTGGTACCTATTTATCTACTTGCAATTTCTTGCTTTCGAACTGCTAGGTTGGCAGGAGCTGGAACTAGAGACGGGAGCTCACTCCATCATGCAACACCCGGGTCTCGAACTGCTGAACTACTGACCTTCCACAGCCTGCAGTTCAGCGTCTTAACCACTTGAGCCACCGCAGCTCCATTTAGGATGAATAGCTAGGGCCAATCACTGCCCTGACCTGAGTGGCTCAGGTTAGCCCAGTCTCATCAGATCTAAGCAGGGTCAGTCCAGGTTAGGACTTGGATAGGAGACCACCAAGGAAGTCCAGGGTCGCTACACAGAGGCAGGCAATGGCAAACTACCTCCGAAGGTCCCTTGCCTTGAAGACCCTATGGGGTCACCATAAATCTGTTGCAACTTGCTAACACTACACACACAAAGGGCCAATAACTCTTTTCTTAGGAATCTCTATTAGTTACCAGTGCACTGTGACATAGTAGTTAGAGTGTTGGACTAGGATCCGGGAGAACAAGGTTGTAATCCACACTCTGCCCGTGGAAGTTCACCAAGGGACCTTGGCCAGTCTTCCCTCTAAGCTGAGTTAATGCCAGTTTGGTGTGGAGAGCCAGTTTGGTGTAGTGGTTAAGTGCGCGGACTCTAATCTGGGAGAACCGGGTTTGATTCCCCACTCCTCCACTTGCTCCTGCTGATGTGACCTTGGGTCAGTCACAAGCTCCGGCACAGCTGTCCTTGAAAAAGAGCAGTTTGTGTCAGAGTTCTCTCAGCCCCACCCACCTCACAGGGTGTCTGTTGTGGGGAGGGGAAGGGAAAGGAGTTTGTAAGCCGCTCTGAGACTCCAAGTGAAGGGCAGCGTATAAATCCAATCTCTTCTTCTTCTTCTTCTAGTGTGAGCTAGGCCATGGTTTTTTAGCCTCCGGCTCACACATTTTTTGTCTTCGCCAGGGCTCTAGTCGGGGGGGAGCTCTCAGGTACGGAGCTCCGGAAGAGAACCTCTAGGGGGCGGGGCGGTCACGTGGTGAAGCCCCGCCCCCTTCTTTACCCCGCCCTCTGCTTCGATCCTCATTCCGTTTGGGAATGAGGATGAAGCAGGAGGGTAAGTAGCCGGGCCTTCTGACACACTTCCGGTGATGTCAGGGGGTGTGGCCTTCTGTCACTTCCGGTGATGTCAGGGGGCGTGGCATATGCAAATAAGTTATGCTAATGAGTTATGCTAATGAGCTCCGGCAGCTCTTTTTCTACAACAAGACCCCTGGTCTTCGCTCAGGAAGGACGGCTCCAGAGCAAACTAATGTAAGCAGCAGCCAAATCGCTCGTTCACGACTTTCATGCCAGTAGCTCACAAAGTGGAATTTTTGCTCCCAAGACTCCACAGTTTAGGGGGAGCGTTGGCCACGGCCAGTTTTGCACTCTCAGCCTAACCTACCTCACAGGGTTGTTGTCAGGAGAAAATGGAGGATAGGAAAATGCTGTATGCTACTCGGGGGGTCCCCACAGGGGAGAAAGGCAGGTTATAAATGAAGTCAATGAATCAATAACAAGTCTTTCGAAGCGGGTGCGGGAGCAATGAAAACTGTATATGATTTTAGAGACAGAAAGCCTAAGTAAGGGCAGAAGGACTCTGATAAATGGCTCTTTGAAATAAGGAAGATGCTCAGAAAGTTCTCTCATAATAACTAATTTACTAATATAGAACAATGTGAAAAACAAGAACTCTACAAGTATATTGTTTTACTAACTCTTTTAATACTAATATTAAGGTTAACATAAAGGGGGTCTCCCACTCTTGGGTTTTTAGTTAGTATGGGTTTCTTTCCTTTATCCATAGTTGTAGTCCCCCTTCCTATATTTTTCTTTGTAGTTTGTCGTCTTATGGAAAAAATAAAAATACCCCTCCGGGGATTTAAAAAAAAAACAACAACGAGTCTTTCCTCGCTGGGGATGTTAAGCCTTTAGGGCAAGGGTCTGCAGCCTATGGCCTTTAGAACCAAATGTGGCTCCTTAAAAAAACCCAAATGAAATCTGTTGGAGTGGTAGGTGGGATGCTAGAATAACCCGTTTGTGAAGGGCATGGGAGGCAAAGATTTGTACGGGACCAAAGGGCTGTTTAGGGAAGTTATACAGGTGAACGATTGCCAGTAATCTGAGTTTGAACCACGTGCGGCTTAATGCCACTGCACTAAGATAATCACAGCCTCCTCCTGCGTATATTTATTACTTCTTGTGAGACCATGCATGTTCCACTTCCATGCAACGACCAGCATTTTTTAAACTTCTGAGTCTGGTTCATTACCACCATCATTATACAATGCTCATATTACTGTGCTTCGAAAACCTGGCAAAGAAAGACCATACTCAGCGTGCAAATTTTCGACCTAATCCTTTGACTAATGTAGATGCTAAGATATGAATGAGTGTTCTTGCTTCCAGATTGCAAAGGGTTGTTACAACTTTGGTACATGAAGACCACGTAGGATTTATATGAGATTAGGCAAGGTTCTGATCATCTTAGGCTGGTTTGATTGTTTTAAATAGGAGGAGATCTGATCAAGTTGCTGTTCTCTCACTTGATGCTGAAAAGGCTTTGGACAAAATATACTGGAAATGTACATTTGTTACGTTGACTACATTTGGTTTTCCTTAATTTTTAAAATGGACGAGGATACTCTGTTTTTCTCCCAGATCCAGGGTGCTGACTAATGGCACATTTCTCAAGCCATTCCTCTTGAAAGGGGTACTAGACAGGGTTGCCCTCTTTGTCCTCTGATTTTTGATCTACATCTGGAACCTCGGGCTTGTGCCATCAGACAAAATGATAACGTTCATGGCTTTGTAGTTTGGTGTAGTGGTTAAGTGCACGGACTCTAATCTGGGAGAACCGGGTTTGATTCCCCACTCCTCCACTTGCACCTGGCTGGATGACCTTGGGCAAGCTGTAGTTCTGATAAGAGCTGTTCTTGAAAAAGAGCAGTTTCTGTCAAGAGCGCTCTCAGCCCCACCTACCTCACAGGGTGTCTGTTGTGGGGAGGGGAAGGGAAAGGTGTTTGTAAGCCCCTCTGAGACACCTTTGGGTAGTAAAGGGCAGGGTATAAATCCAATCTCCTCTCCTCCTCTTCTTCTAATTCTTTGGAATGTAAAATTATTCTTTATACAGATGATCCTTTATTGTTTATTTCTGAACCTCTGTCTTCCATTCCTGCATTAATTAATATGATTAATACCTTTGGAGACTTGTCTGGCTATTTGATTAACTGGACAAAATCTGAGATGGTGCCATTGGGAGACAATATATCAGAGTGTATTCGCTCATGGACATTTTTGATGGTGCCCAGATGCCATTACTTAACTTGGAATGTTGATTCCTAGAGATGTTATGCATATGATTATGCTAAATGTCAACAAGCTGATTGCTGACATATCTTTGGATTGGGACAAATGGGCAACCTTAAACTTGCCTTTATGGGGCAAATACACTTAAAATCAATGTTATACCTCAAATTATATATGTGTTATGTGCAATTCCTTTTTATATACCTTGTAGATATATTGGTGAAATTTAGAATGTCACAAAGCTGGCTATGCCTCCTGAGGCACAGAGTGATCTCCTCTTGAATATGGTGACTGGTAGCCCAGTTTAAGAATCTTTTCAACCTTTAATCAACATTGATTGAATCTTGATGATGTAAAACTGATTTTGGTGGTATAAAATGAGGAAACACACACTTATGAATTCATCTCTGAAGGAGACATCCGAAACAAAGTTTTATCCGGAACCTTCATAAAAGTATCATTTCATATCATATTGTACAGTACATATTGTTCACTGTTTGGAAATGGTGTTTGCATTATATACAGTATATACGCTGTATACTAGTTGAGGGACTTGTTTTGATATTTTGATCTGTAAAAGAGATTCTTTATCATCCCACATGGGAACATACACTCTGACATATTCTCAGTCTTGGCACTCGGGATGTGACCCTGCCCAAAAACTAGCACAGAGCTAGCCAAAATGCAGTTTCCCATGGATGTTCTCCCATCCTATATCCAAATCAGCTTCCCACTGGATGAGAGGGCTGAGGTTGTAGTGGCAGCCAGGGACATAACTCTGAAACCAACACTTTCAAATGGGCTGCTTCTTCCGCCCAGCCACCTGCACCCATACACTAATAATTCTCAGATTCAGAGGGAAGGATTGATAGCGGCAGCCAGGAAAGTATCAGCATGCAAGTGGTGTTTACAAGCATCAGCATAACAGAAGATTATTTCACGTTCTTTACTTTTGACAGAATATTTCCGTGCGAAGCGTTACCGGAGAAGTTTATTGTGCTAAATCAGGCCGGAAATTCTCAGGGCAAATCCAAGAAAAATTCATCATCTCAGACTGGAGATATGTTCTGTCTGGTTCATACAGGTAAGACCACCTGACACGTTTTTTTTTTAAACAGAGTTCAGTTCAAGATGGTCTCTTGAGATAAAATACAAGTACTAAGTGCACTTTGCACCTGACAAGAACAGCAGTTGTTCTCCAGTGAGCAGACGAAGGCAACATCCTCCGGACTGCCGAAGTGTCCTTTCTTGGACATGGAAAAAGCACTGGCAAAGCGACAAGCAGTTCTGCAACACATCCTGATTTGGGGACTGCACTCTCGGTCCTTTATATTTTAAAGTGGCGTCAGCAGAACTCTCCGTTTGCCCTTCCGAGCCAAGGAGCAGCACTGCATCCTACGCCAGAAAAAGTATCACGGGGGAACCTTCTGCTTCGCTCTCCTGGTTTTCAGGGCCTGCAGAGAGCCCGGAAGAACAGGTGCAGAGAACAGGAAGGGGCAGAAGGAGGAAGTGGGAGGGAAGCAGCAGCAGCAGTGGGAGAATAACGTTGGGTAGCAGGATGTTTCACTCAGCTACCCACCGGGCTGGAATAATTAGATTTGTGAACATTTTGCATAAACAGGAGGCCAGCAAGCACTGTGCAGCATTAAGAAAAGAAGGCTGCATTGAGCAGTGTATAGTGTACGGGGTGGGGTGGGGACCCAAGGAACATCTATGAAGCTGCCCTGTTCTGAGTCAGACCGTTGGTCTATCAAGGTCAGTGTTGTCTACTCAGACTGGCCTTCCGGAGTCTCAGGCAGAGGGCTTTCAAATCAACCTACTCCCTGAGCCTTTAATTTGCAGGTGCCAGGGAACTGAACCTAGGACCTTCTGCATGCAAAGCAAATGCTGTGCCACTGAGCCACAGCCCCTCCCCCCAGGGCTATTTTTGGGCAGGAACGCACAGGAACAGAGTTCCGGCTGGCTCCTGAGTTGTCCACGCCCAGCAGGAGCTCATTAGCATAAAAGGCCACACCCAACAGCAGAAACTCATTAGGACTGGCTACATTAGGGGTGTGTGGCCTAACATGCAAAGGAGTTCCTGCTACAAAAAAAGCCCTGGGTTTTGACAACAAACAAGGTAAACAGAATAAGAAGCAAAAGGTGGGTGTGGCTGGATGAGCACACTTCTGGTAACATGGGGGCGTGGCCTAATATGCTAATGGGCTGTCCTATCAGGGGTATGGCCTATTATGCTAATGAGTTCCTGCTGGGCTTCTTCTACAAAAAAAGCCCTGCCCTCCCCAATGGTTAGTGCAGAGGTGTCGAACTCACTTGTCACGAGGACAGGATCTGACACAAATGTTACTTTGACAGGTCAGGCCATGTGTGCCGTAAAATGTAATACCAGGTATCAGAGATATACAGTTTATAAAGAGCACAGGCAAACCCAATTAAAGATATTATTTTTTTACTCAAAATACAAACACAAAAGCGCCAATAAATGTATTTAATCATATGCAGGATTGGGTTTTTTCCAAGGCATACCATAAAAGAAGGAATACCAAGGCCGTATTAACCCGTGACCGGGCCCCTGGGCTTTCAGGTGTTTCAGGGCCCCTCTGGCACTTCCGTCTTTCACCCCACTACAGCTGACAGCCTGACCCTGGTACGATAGATACTAGACCGCAGTACATAGCCCTACATCCATTTTGAGGGTCTCCTGAAGAATACTATTCACTATTTTTTAATATATTTTTATTGCACGAGTAGAACTCTTCAGGAAAGCACATTTTGGGGGTATAATCGTTCAGTACGGTAATATTTTGAAGTGAATAAATTTTTTATCATTTATTAAAAATATATAATTTATGGATAATTGTTTTAATATAAGAGACAATTTGTTTCACTGCAATAAGGAAGCAGTTAATTGTCTTATTAGTAGAGGTCATATATTACAGGCTGTCTATGAAAAGAAAATAACAGTGCCTCAGCAAAAAAATAAATAAATAAAAATGATGGGCCTCTAGTCCCTGCAGGGCCCCTCGGCTTCAGCTTAGTCAGCCTTATGGATAACACAGCCCTGGGGAGTACCTTACATTTCCATACATACCATTTGCTTGCGAGCCGGGTAAGAGCCCTGGATGGACCAGTTCTGGCCCACGCACCTTATGTTTGACACCCCTGGGTCAGACAAACATGTTAATGCCCGTTAATTCCATTGGGACAGAAATGCCTGTCTCTCTCTCTCTCCTTCGGGATTCAATCAAAAGGTTCGACCTGTCAGCCAGTCATACAAACTCTACTATAGGGCCAAGAGGGTGGATACTCCAAAGAACGGGTTTTGATTCCCCAGAGCAGCAAACTAGCAGTTCATGAAGGTAGTGATTTTTACTACAAAGATTGGGGGAAGGGGGGAGATGGAGAACTGGATTTTGCCATCACAGGTGCTAAAATATACTTGGGTACAGTCAGGGGTAATTTCGTAAAAAAAGAGGTGCAGGAGCTCATTAGCACAACTCATTTGCATATGCCACACCCCGTGACATCACTGGAAGTGTGTCAGAAGGCAACACCCACCGCTCAGGCTCCACTGGACTGGTTTTTATTGCTAGCTATTGGGGGGGGGGAGCGTGCAGATCTGTCCTCGCAGAGGAGGGAGAGCTTGTACCTGAATAAAACTTAGTCTTAAAGGTGCCACTGGACTGTTTTGGACCAGGGGGCTGGGGGGGGGAACTCTGCAACTTACCTGGCTGCTTCTTGCTCTGACTGAGGGCTGCTGGGAGCAGGGGGTGGGGCTTGTTGCATGTGCCCGCCCCCTGAGCGCTTTACTGCCGGAGCTCCGCTCCTGTGCACTCCTGCAGGAAATGACCCCTGGGTACAGTTCTGAGTCATTCACCCTCACAGAAGGTCTCCCCTTCCCTGTGAGCTCCTGTTCTATGTGTGCATTCTGACAGGAAGGTAGCAAGCCTCTCGCAGAGACACGGGACTGCCTCCTCGGGAAGGGGGTAGGGTTGCCAATCCCCAGTTGGGGGTGGGGGAATCCCCGGGTTGGAGCCCCTCCCCCCACTTCAGGGCTATCAGAAAGCAGGGTGGGGAATGGCCTCTGGGTGCTCTATTATACCCTATGGAGTCCGGACCCCAAAGGGTATAATGGAGAATCGATCCGTGGGTATCTGGGACTCTGGGAGGCTGGTTTTTTTTAGTTAGAGGTACCAAATTTTCAGCATAGCTGTTGGTGCCTCTCCTCAAAACAACCTCCAAGTTTCAAAAAGATTGGACCATAGAGTCCAATTCTATGAGCCCCCAAGGAAGGTGCCCCCATACTCCATTATTTCCAATGGAGGGAAGGCATTTAAAAGGAACATGGGCCCTTTAAATGTGACAGCCAGCTCACTCGGAACTCACTTCAGAGTTCAATTGCACTTCTTCCCTCTCCTCCCCCAAGTTTCTTGGCAAGTCCCCCGCCGGCTTGTCAGCCTCACCTGGCAACCCTCAGAGGGGGTCAGGTTATTCTGCAGCATCAGTCACTGGCAGTGACTGAATCAATCGTCCCCAGTTAAAAGATATGTCAGAGGCTGTATCCATGTACTGAGCTATTGGCCACAGTAATCATTAGGAACTGCATTTTCCTGAGTGGACAAGACACTCCAGAAGGCGTGCAATTGCCGTAGCACAATGATAGTGCCGTACCCAGTGGTGTAGACACACCCTGAATTACCCGCTTCCAGCAGAAGAGGGTGGGAGGGAGGAAGCTAGGCTGGAGCAGAGCAGCATGCAGAGATACAGCAGGTAACCTCCTCAGTGGGCAGGTTCTTTGAGCTCACAGGAGTATTTATTTAAGCTAGGAAGGTCCTTGCAGCCTGTGAGCAGTTCTTTCACTGTGCAAAATCTGGAAAGGAACGACAGAGTAAAATGATAGACCTGCGCAATTCTGCACAGAACAAACTCTCTCGACATTGAAATGCAGGGCTGGAGGAACACACAGCCTGCAGGTGCAAGCCAGACTTCAGCTGAGCAAATTTGACATGCTTTTCATGAGCTGATGGTTGTTGCCTATGCAGCTGGCGCTAAAGGGGGAATTGGACTAAAACATATCGAAATGCATAGCAAGAATTCACTGCCAGGGACGGCCTTCTGGGCCTGTCATGCTCTGACCAGTGCCCACAAACCAAAGCTTGCTCAGTTTGGGCTACACCTGGCGTCTGCTTGTCAGACTCAATGAACTCCCATGGCACAAAGTTCTTGACAGGTATTGCAGCAGCCGTGTTGCAGCAGCTCCAGGTAGCTGTCTGGTCCTAGGTTGTGAGAGGGAATGTTAGGGTGTAGACTTTCCAATTTCCCGGGAGGGGGGGGCTGGGGCTGGGCCAGAGGCATTGCTTTGCTAGGAGCAAGGGTGGCTCCTGGGGGAGGCTGAGCACCTTCCTGAAAATTTCGGCGGGGGCTGAAGCCCCGCCGCCCCCACGAAGATTACGCCTGAGTAAGAGTTAACTCAGACAGGAAAATCTATCAGCTCAGCAGTTCATTTGCAAGACCAGCGGCCTTGCAGTGCCAACCAAATAGCTCTCCTACCGCCTAAGCATTCTGTAATACCAGGACAGGCAGCAAGCCAGAGAGATCTAGCAAAGTTGGCCGTAGTCCATGAAAGCAAAGCAGACAGCCAGCACATTCCTCAATACAAAAGGCAACCCTTTTCGGAGCCAGACTTGAGGTTATGTTGGGAGATCTGTGGAAGAGCAGAGGGCTTTGAGGAAGCTTAAAAGGGTGGTGTGGGGGTGTTGCATGAAGGGAGGAGAGCATTGTTCCCTCTAAGCTGAGTTAGTGTGAGCCAGCTCACAGTTTTTTAGCCTCCAGCTCACACATTTTTTGTCTTAGCTCAGGAAGGAGGGCTCCAGAGCAAACTAATTCATGCAGCAGCCAAATCGCTTGCTCACAACTTTAATGCCAGCAGCTCACGAAGCAGAATTTTTGCTCACAAGACTCCACAGCTTAGAGGGAACATTGGAGGAGAGTGTTAATTTTTTCCTCCCATGTGTTTTTTGAAGATGCACATCCCACCCCCAAGTGATTTCATGGAGGAAGCAGACAGGCTGTCTAGATCAGGGGTCCCTAACCTTTTTGAGCTTGCAGGCACCTTTGGAGTTCTGGCACACCATGGTAGGCACAGACACAAAACGGCTGCCGCAACATAGCCGCTGCAAAAGACGTAGCTACTGAAGATCCTTGTGCTGTGGTGGAAGCTGGTGCCAAACTACTATTTTAAAAAATCTGCACAGCCAATCAAATCTCCAGTGGCCAATCAGGAGCCTTTGTGGGCAAAGGCCCCCCTCGCCCCAGCCACTTTCTAAAAATAATTGGTGGGCAAGAGGAAAGGTGTTAATGGGAGCCATGCCCCCCCCCCCCAGGCACCATGTTGGGGACCAGTGGTCTAGATGTTTTCCAACAGGGAGCAAACAGCAATTGTGGAGATAGGGGCATTTGAACTGGCACAACCCCCTGGCACCTGTGCGTCCTCTAATACGATGGATGGTGTCGTATGCAAACAAATGTCTCTCTGTTATTGACAACACTGGGCAGTTTCTAGAGCAACTAGAAAGCTAGGAATCAGACATTAAAATGGAAACACTCGACAAAGTGGGGGAGCATTTCAGTTTCCAGGGACATTCAGTAACAGACTTGAAGGCTGCAGTACTTCGGCGGAAAATAGTCAGAGGAGGACTCCAGAGAGAAGCCGCTGAGTTGACATTCACAGGCAAGATCTGATACGATCAGATGGGGACTCAGTAGGGACTTGGGATTGTTTAGCTCATTAAAAACACCAATTGTTCCTGTTCGGATTCACCCTGCCTTCCCGTCGCCTGTGTTGTCATGTAATGTCAACTGCCTTATCTTGATAAACTGGTCCTACATATGACTTTTTGTAGCCGCTCCACCACCACCCTTCTGCTGTTTGTCACCCTATGTATGTCTGTCGACCGAATGTAACATTTCACGCATCTGACGAAGTGGGTTCTTGCTCACGATGGCTTATACCGCAGTAAATGTGTCAGTCTTTTAGCTGCTGGTGGTGGAAAGTGCTCTCAAGTCACAGATGACTCATGGTGACCCTTAGTGGGGTTTCCAAGGCAAGAGATGGTCAGAGGTGGTTCGCCATTGCCTGCCTCTGCGTAGCAACCCTGGACTTCCTTGGTGGTCTCCCGTCCAAACACGAAGCGGGGCTGACCCCTGCTTAGCTTCCGAGATCCAACGAGATGGGTCTAGCCTGGTGGGCCCTCAAGATCAGGCTGTCTTTTAAGTGCCACGAGACTTTTCGTTCTTTTGCCTGCAGCAGACTAACAGAGCACTTGCTCTCTCGAATGGCAAGAATCACGTTTAGGGAGTGGTAAACATGACAAAATATGCAGCAGTGTGGATTCCTTGAAACAAACATCCTGGATTCACTCCAGGAAGATTTCTATCAGAAACGGAGTTTGCTTTGGGCTGGACATATCTCTTTCACACCCATTTTTGCTTTCCCCCCAGTACATGTGTTTCAGCTTGAAAATAACTGGGGGTATTAAGCAACAGTTGGAAACACCCCGTGCCTTATTCAGAGCTAAGTTTTGCCAAAACGTGGAATCCCCCTTGTAAAGTATTGAGTTCACACCCCTCCGACCTGAAAACGGGCCATAACTGTGGGCGGGGAGCTGAATATTGATTTTCTCTTCCGAGTAAATACGATGTGCCGTGGGGATGGGGGTGAGGAGCAAGGGCCCGAAGCACTCCTCAAGAGGATTTGCAGATCCTTTCCCTGGATATCTACCTTTCCTTAAACAAGCAAAAAGAAAAAGTACCCCTTGTTTTTACTTGTAGAGATAACAAAAAAAAATTTAGCAGACAACATATTGGGCAATGCAGTTAAAAAAAAAAAAAGTGGCAAAGGCCCACTCATTGGCAGGAAGCAGGAGACCTCGGTGAGATGAAATAAACTGGTGGGCACTTATTTCATAATCAAACTTATTACACTTTTGACCCACATTTCTCTCTTCTTCCTGCTAGCTTCACGTGGCTATGCGGCCAGGTCCATCGCAACTTCCTCTCCAAGTTCACCGGCCAAGTGGTGGAGCTGTTTGATGAGGAGTTCCGTCACCTCTACGCCACGTCTAAGCCCGTGGCCGGGCTGAGGCCCCCATCACACACCACGCCCGTCTTGCTCAACAAGACCACGGCGGCTACCCAGGGCAGCCTCACCAGCAGCAGCAACCGAGGAAGAACCCACACCCGGTCGGATCTGTGCAGCAGCGGGTCAAACCACAGCTCCTCGCCACCCAAGCAGCCTCCCAGGTCTCCCGCTTACAACGGGCCCCCACTTTCCCCTCCTCCGCTCAACAGAGCCCACCCTTTCCAGGGCTACACCACGTTCAAGACAACCCCGCCGCCGAGCGGCGTCCAGGTCAACTACTACCAGCGACAGTACATCACCGATTCACCGGTGGCCCTTTACAACAATGTGAACCTCTACAGGTCCATGAGGATCTGGCCGGAGGACGGCAACAGGGCTCCGCTGAACCCAGTCTGGAGGTGTCTTCAGAAAGCAAACTTGATAAGATGACTGAGGAGGAGGGGTCTGTTATCTTTTATGATAATAAAGTGCCGCTAAGTCACACTCACAGCCAACCTATGGCAACCCTCCATGGGGTTTCCAAGGCAAGAGACGAGACGAGGTGGTTTGCCATTGCGTGCCTCTGCCAAGCAACCCTGGACTTCCCATCCAAATGCTAACCAGGGCCAACCCTGCTTGGCTTCCAGGCTCTGATAAGCTTATACCAGGGGGCGGAATCTAAGTAAGGCAGGAGGGGAAAAACATATTGCAGGAGTCTTCTGGGTGGCTCTCAGTGTCTCTTGTGAGCAGCCCCAAAGGGCTCTTTTTGTAGCAGGTACTCATTTGCATATTAAGCGACACACCCCTAATGTAGCCAATCCTCCAAGAGCTTACAGTAGCTCCATTAAGAAGAGCTCTGTAAGCTCTTGGAGGATTGGCTACATTAGGGGGTGTGGCCTAATATGCAAAGGAGTTCCTGCTACAAATAGAGCCCTCAGCTATTGAGCATTTCTATTTTTTATTATTATTTTTTCCCCTCAAAAAGAAAGTGGGATACAAAAGGGGGGAAAGGGGGTAGGGGAAAACACAGATTCATCAAATTTATCAAATATTGTGGGTTGTTACATACAACCAGTAAAATCAGATGTATTTGTAAGAATACATATAGAAGCAGACAATAAAACATCAGTATTACAGTGTTTTGGGATGGGTTCTCTCTTTAAAAGACTAAACAAGAACTTTCCTAATGTTAACGATAATCTGTTAACAGTAAGAGAGATTGCATCTTTGGCAGCTGAGCAAACTTCTGTGCTAAGATTAAATCATTGTTAAAACCTGAATATTGTCTTAATATTCAGTTTGGTGTCGTGGTTAAGTGCGCAGACTCTAATCTGGGAGAACTGGGTTTGATTCCCCACGCCTCCACTTGCACCTGGCTGGACGACCTTGGGTAAGCCATAGTTCAGACAAGAGCTGTTCTTGAAAAAGAGCAGTTTCTGTCAAGAGCTCTCTCAGCCCACCTACCTCACAGGGTGTCTGTTGTGGGGAGGAGAAGGGAAAGGAGTTTGTAAGCCGCTCTGAGACTTCGAGTAAAGGGCAGGGTATAAATCCAATCTCTTCTTCTTCTTAATCATTTTTCAAAATCTAAGTTTTATTCCTACTAGATATTTAAATACTAGTGGAACACTAAATAAAAAGATTAAAACTACTGAGCATTTCTAGACCTCAAGGTCACTAAGAAAACTGAGAGGACATAAAAGCGTGTCTGAGTCCTTAGGAAGCAGAAAACAGAAAGAATCCCAACTGTACAAACAATAAGCGCAAAGCTTTGGCAGATGATCGTCACAATTCCGGAACTCAGTTAGATGGAAAACCTGGTCGCCATTGTGTTTTCAAAACACTATCAGGTGGGAATTAAATGCACGGCAAGCTGCTCTGAGCAGACCTCTGGATCCCAAAAAGGCAATCTTAAGGCCAAGTTTATTCACAGAACAAATGGAAGTGGTAGAACTGATCCTGAACTGTAACACTTCAGCTGGCGGCTTTGTCCTACGAGTGCGTGCAAAATAGGCCAAAGCATTACACAAGCAGAACAGGCGGGCCTTGTTGATGTAAGAGCAAGACACAGGGTTTTGGCTTGGGTCCCAGGCGGCACCAGCAGATTTGTACTGGAGGAAGGCAACTTGCCCCCACCCACTGCAGCTTTATATTCCCCCCATAAAGCTCAGTGGACCCCCCCAGGAACAGTGGCCGGGGGGGGCAAAGTAGGAGAGGGAAGTAGGGAAGATCACCCTCCCCCCTCTGCAAACAGAAATGCCGTTCCGCAAGTGGAACAGTCAGCAATATAGGATCCAAGCCTTTGCTTCCTACATTTCTTATGTGGACGAACACGAAGGGAAAAGTGAAAATCTAGCAGCATTTCAATGGGACATTAACAACTCAGGCACCGCACAGGATCTTTTCGATATATTACATAATGGAACAAAATAAAGCAGGAGCCCAGGGGAGTTTTAAAGTCTAATGAATCTGAGGGAGAGAACGTGGCATGGTATAGCCCCATTTTGTCAGATCTCCGAAGCTGAACAGGATCAGTACTTGGGTGGGGGAGACCACCAAGGAGGCCCTGCAGAGGCAGGCAGTAGCAGACCTCTGCTTCTCACCTGCCTTGAAGTTTAGCAGGATCAGCTATGGTTAGTGCTTGGATGGGGAACCACCAAGGATGACTCTGGGGCAAGTGATGCTCTGTCTTCTTGGTGCTTGGGGGGGCCAACAGTGGGAGGGCTTCTAATGTCCTGGCCCCACTGGTGGACCTCCTGAGGGCACCTGGTATTTTTGGCCACTGTGTGACAGAGTGTTGGACTGGACGGGCCTTTGGCCTCATCCAACATTGGCGTCTCTTATGTTCTTATGACTCTGCAAAGGAAGCCAATGGGAAACCACCTCTGCATCTCACCTGCTTTTGAAAGCCTCTTGCTGGGGTTGTCCTAAATCGGTTGTGACTTGATGGCACTTCTGTACGTATCAACTTTGGAAAGCTTGAGCTCATCTTGTCAGAAGGATTAAGTGTCCATCTGTTAGGCATATCAATACTAAAAGTTGTAGACAGAATGGGGGGGAGGAGATGCTACAAATGTTTATGCACCTGATGAACTGAGCTCTGAATCACACCAAAAAATGTATGCTAGAGTAAATAAATCTTTAAGGCGCCACTTCCACTGGACTACAGTTTTATTTTGCTGCTAAAAACAAACTAACATCGCTACCCATCTGGAATGACTGAATTAATCTAATAGCTATTCATTTCTTGTTAGTTTTTCATATGCCAAATAAAACTTTGACAAAACATTTTGGATTAGTGTGGATTCTGCAGCTATAAATACTCAAATCGCTTGAGCCAAAATTCAAGGGCACTGCGAAATAAAGAGATGCACATTCTAATCCCCCCCACACACATACACTCTTGAATGGGATTCTGTGTGCATTCATGCCTACAAGAAATTAGTAGGAAGGAGTAAAGAAAACGTTATGACTAAAAGAACAAACATACCCTTGTCAGAAAACAGCCATGAGCATAAAGATTGTAATCTGAGTCAAGGTGGCTACATTTTTTGATCTGTTAACATCAGTTTTGTGATAAAAAGGTCTTGAGCAACTACAGAGTATAATTCTGTTTCTTAGCAGCATTTACAGTGATGAAGCTTCAAGAAGCGGTTAACAAAGTCAACTGAGTTACTAAGAAACCTTTCTGGTGATAACACTGCTGAACTATTCCCACGGAAGACACGCCAGTTTGGTTTCTCAAAAAGCACAGGTTTAATCCAAATGTTAAAAGGATGTTTCCAGTCCTCATGGTTTAGAGCGGTAATCCCCAATGTGGTGCTTGTGGGCACCATTGTGCCCGCTGATGGGTTTCCTGGCACCCACTTGCTTCTTCCCCAAAGCAAAGAGCCAATCCTTGCTTTCCTCCACTTCACTGGAGCAGGAGAACCCAGAAACAACGGACTTCGTAGGAGGAAGGGGTTTAGCCTGCAACTTCCCAACATTCTGTGACTGGCCTCAGGGCCCCATGGCAGCCATTTTGTGGCGGCACCAATTCCCTGTGGATAAAATTCTAAGCCTGCCCACAGGCTTAACAAGATTGGGGACCCCAGGTTTAGAGAAAAGTGGGGAAGGAGCAAGAGGAAGACAACAAAATTAACTAACAAGAGGACCGAACGGGGTTTCGGGTACCCTTTTCCCTTCTCTGTATTACCTACCCTTTCGTGACCTCTAATTTATTTATTATTTTATTTATTTATTAAGATTTATACCCCGCCCTCCCTGCAGAGCGGGCTCAGGGCGGCTTACAAGGGGCAAAGCCCATATAAAACAGATAAAAGCAATAAAACATTAATGACAATTAGTATACTCAATTTAACAAGATGGTCTCCGGATGGCTCTCCAGGGTGATGTTATCCTATAGCTCAACCAGGTAAATCCAGTGGCCACGCAGAAATTGTGGTAGATCTTCCTGGGCCATCCTTAACCCCGATGTTGTCCACGTCATTGGTGGTGGTGGTAGTGGTGGCCCCTATGTGAAAGCCTGGCGGAAGAGCTCCGTCTTACAGGCTTTCACATAGAATAACACAAGCTATTCTAAATTCACAATATTGGGTGGTGGCAAGTGCTGTAAAGTCACGGCCAGCTTACAGCAACCCCAGAGGGTTTTCAAGGCAAGAGATGTTCAAAGGTGGTTTGCCATGGCCTGTCTCTGTGGCGCCACCCTGGGCTTCCTTGGTGGTCTCCCATCCAAGTGCTGCTTAGCTCCTGAGATCTGATGGGATCAGCCATCCAGGTCAGGGGAAACCCAAAGTATTACAACTAAGCAAATAAAACAATCCATGCAGCTGCACTCGTTCCCATGTTCCCAAGGCTTAATTAGAAATAGAAAAAGTTACAGGTGTACATCAACGGTAGTCTCTACTTCCTAGTTTGCTGGCTGGGAGGAGCCATTTTGGAAATGACACTGCATTCTTTGCACCTCTTGCTCAGCCTCTGACGTGCTACAAGAACGAATGTCTAATTTGCAAGAGTGTTGTACAAGGGAGTTATAATACTTCAAGACTGGAGCAGGAGTACTGGATCAGGCTGACACCCTGGCCTCTCTCTCTCTCTCTCTCCAGCCATTCACTGCTGCCTCTCCACTGAACTAGCCTGCACACTCTATAACCCACCCAGCAACCACAGCCTACCAGATACCTCATATGACCTGCCTGATGTTGAACCCCACCCCTCACTTGTGCAAGACCTTGAAAAGCTGCCTTCCCATGCCTGGTATACCGAGTTCCTAATGAGCCACCACCCACTATCAGAGTTGCCAGTCTCCAGTTGGTGGCTGGAGAGCTCCCAGAATTACAACTGGTCTCCAGATGACAGAGATCAGTTCCCCTGGAGAAAGTGGCTGCTTCGGCAGGTGGACTCTATGGCATTAGACCCCAATGAGGTCCCTCTCCTCCCCAAACCCTGCCCTC